GGGGGAGAGAGAAAGGAAAAAGAAGGAAAAAAAAACAAGGATCCAACAATTATGAACTACGCTTGATTAGTTATCAGTTACGCTTGACTAATGTCGCTGCTTCTGTTCCAGGCTTGACAAACATCACGTCAAATGTAAAAACAGTCAAAAAGAAATTTGTATATTTGCGCTGTTTGTGAATCCACAGTTAGCAAGAGGTTACGCACAACCACAACGAGGAATTAACCCGCAAGAACATGAGCACAACTGAGGAAATAGAAAATTAGAACAATAGCTGCTGAAGAACATACATTCACGTTTCATACATTCGTACACCTTCAAATATCACATCCCATGTTTAGCGGTGGGTTTATGCCTTTCTTTCTTTTTTACTTTTTTAAAATTTTTGGTGGCATATCCCTGCCATGGCTACAGACATACACTGGCAAGTAAATCAACAATACATACATCTATCGTGTCACGTAAAAGGACAGATGCAGGCCAGAGGTTGGTTGAACTTTCCTTCTGAGACAAGAGGGGGAATCATATAGTTTGCACGTCCCCACATTGACAACTGAGCAGCAAAACGAAGCATTAGTTAGGAAGCAGTATCCATCTCCTCGCTGGTTTTCTTGTATTCCGGCTTGAGCTCATGTGTCCCCTGATTAGGTCCCCTCTTGTTGTAAACGCACAGATCGTTGAGTATCTCTTTCACAAATTGCTGCAGAGCTCAGAATAAGACCACATTTGTCAGTCATGTTTGAGACATGCAGAAGACGAGTCTCTTATTTGCAGAAGATCTTTACAATAGACAGCCATAACATATTACTAAAGAAGACATTACTTAGAAAGTAAGGAACATCATTTAAAAGGAGATAATTGTTACAGACGACCTTTTTCCCATCAAGTGAACATAAGAGACGAAATGAATCGAAGATGAACTTTGATTACGAGTAACTTGTGACAAATATGTTACTCTTGGATGATCAAAAAGAGATGAAATGGACAGTGCTAGTGAAATTCACTGCAGAGCTCTGACTATGTTTCTGTTGGCATAGTTAATAGCCATGCAAAGTGCCAACCGTGAACTAGAGCTTCTTAACATCATATTTACTTCAAACGGCAATAAAGTGGCTGAAGCAGACTCTATATACTTTAGCAGTAGAATTGCTGGTAGGGGATTTATTCTGTTGGCTACTCTTTCTACTATAGGACTGAGGCACTATATGCATTCAACAAAAGGAGAGGGGAAAAAACACCTGGCTTTCCAGCACATCCGCTGAGGTCTAACCAACCCGTACACAAACAAACTATATGCTTGCCTTTGAATAGGAAATTACTATGGCAGTAACGCTTCACAAGCATACAATTCCCTACAGAAAATAATTGCACCTTATTTCATCATTTTATACTCTTTCTTGGGGAATCAGGGACTTGTTATTGAACTAGATAACAGAAAAGTAGAGTCTATTCACCTACCAGCTTGCCTTAAATGTTCTTCAGTGTGAGGCTCTGTTGCCACATGTCAAGTTGAGATAGCTGGTCTAGAAAGTTAGCAATGGAAAGGTATATACGGTACAATATCCATGGTGGTCAAAGTAAAAAAATATTGAGTTCCAACCCAAATTAATGGGCAGCAATCAATGATGCAATTTCTCGGATCCAGAATAGAAAAGAATGGAGAAAGATGAAGGAGCTTCTAGTAGCGTCATGGATAGACAAGGCTGGCAAGTATTTCTAAAATGCTCTGTGATTGACATTAGAAATCTAGAGAAGGATCCACAAGACCAACCCAGTCAAGTGTACCCTTTATTAGGCATCAGTTCAATAAAAGGGGTTTTGTTCATAAACCCGAAGTTTAACCCTAATTTATTTCTCAGCCCACTTACTTCCAGAATCCTTCATAAACCCAAAATACCCATCTGATTTGTTTTTAAACCCAGTTTCAGTATTAACAGATATTGCATACAGTATTTCAAGAAAAAGAAAAAGAATACCGAAATGCCTCCTCCCCTCATAACCTCATCGTCTATTGTGCCCTTCAACTACGGGATGTGATTGATGATTCTGAAATCTAGAGACCTGTCAAGCATTAGAACTTGAGATGACAGAAACCGTTATCCCAACGTTCTGAAACAAACCTTGAAAGAATTATGGATCCACCCAGATTTTCAAGGAGAAAAGAAAACTTAGGGGAAGACAGAGGGTTAAAGAAGTTAGAAGGTAAACAATGGAATTGATTTCTTCTCCTTCTAGCTTTTTAATCTCTGCATTAAAGACAGATTGATTCCAAAGGCCAAGCTTCGCGAATTTGTTGTATTTTTTAGCGAACTAAACCATGAAAAAGAGGGGTAACTGGAAAGTCATCGGGAAGAATAAGGTTGAGGTCCATGAATGATTCTGGATGAACAGAGGTTTTAAAATAAATCACGGTGAGACTTTTGTTTTATAAACCAAAACCCTGACAAAAGAAGTGGTCAATTATTTCCTGGAGCTTGACAAGATTAAGACATGTTCCAAAGACAACTCATTCTGATGAGAGAAAGCTTGAAGCCTTGACATGTGATGATATGGTCATGAGACCAGCATTAGTTGAATATAAAATGTGATTAAGACCATATTTAACTACAATTAGGGACTCAAACATTTTAACGGAAGAAAATACCTCAGGTTGATCTGTCTCTTTGACCAGTTGCTTCAGTGCCCAATTTGGTTGTCTTTCAAAGAGTTTAAATATAATATTTTCCAATTCCCGACGGTCTCTTCGTATGCGTTTTGTTTCAGATCCCTTTGCTGGTGTTACTTTCTTCTTATCCTGATAAAATAAAATAAAACAATTATTAACAGTGGATGCCCACTCAACAAGAGGAGATTTCACAACTGATCTTATTGAAAGAGGTCCTGCCTTTCACTCTGAGCCAATCAAACCTCTCTTAAAATCAATAAGAAGATCCACTGACCAAAAGTTTTGGAATTATATCATGGAAAAGCAGAAAAAATACACTAACCTAATCACAGTCATGCATAGAAAGACAAATATAAGGTCAAATAAGATGGAAGCTTTACCTTTGAACCAGATGGAACCAAGCCAACCATGCCAGGGAGAGGTCTCATATTTTCTCCATAGTCATTGCCAATTACCTTAAAAAGAGACGTTTAGCCAATAGGACAGGTATGATATGATTTTTTTTTAAATGGGAGCATGCAGAGAAATTCAAAATTAATGCATACCATAACTTGTCTGGTTTTTGTATTAGCTTTGTTTGTCCTTTCACGGCACAACCTTCTATACTCCCCAAGATTCTCGCTATGAGGCTCCATGTCAAATTTATGCTCCACCTTTCCTTCTAATGAAAATTTTCCTGCATTATACAATGGTTTCTGTCAAATAATATGGAATCAGAAAATACTTTGTCATTAAGCTAAATTTTCCATGTTGTTCCCATTTTGCTATCACTGCAGAAATCTGACCACTGATGTCTTTGAATGGTTGGACTAGAGGAAATTGCTGGGGTGAGGAGTTCAATATCTTTGAACAATTTGGGACAGAATTTAGCGCAAAGTTATTTTCTTTCATTGTATCATGCGTGCAATAAGATAATTTGGAACTGAAATTGCCCTTCATTAAAATTTTATTTCCCTCATTGTCTGGCAGTGCAGTTAATTTGATTTGACTTGGTATCATTCATGTGTCATCAAGATTTTTTTTTTACCCTAATGACCCTCCATTTTCCTTCTCCTCATTGTTGTTCATAGACATTAGTTGACATTTATCTTAATTAGCTGGTTTAGTTCAGGTACTATGATGGTAATTTTTGCTATTTTTAAAATGATCTCCTAGTACCATGGGAAGTACTGGACTCAATTAATTTTCTATTTTGTGCTTAGGTGAGTGCAAGCACTTTGGTAAATGTTGTTAATTGCCTTTTTTCTTCAGATTTTTCATGAAAATTTCAAGATTGTCCTTGGCTGCAAGGGATGCAGAGGGATAAGAAGCCATAAAATATGTGTATACAAAAGACTTTCCTTGAATACCGAACACTGCCTTCGCAGTGACAGAACATAACACTACATTGGCAGCCTACAATTTTCCATACAATCTGAAATAATCCGAGGGTGACCAACTGTGTTTGTATGTGCACATGTACGTGCGTGTCCGCACATATACTATGTGCATTCATCTAGCAGTGTGAATATATGCATAAATACATATGTGTATTCAAGTGTATCTCCATGGGTATAGCCAAAAATATATATATTCAGGTCAGTTAAAACATCTTACCTTGGTTTGATTCAGAAAAGATACACATAGGTACGAAGTCTTTGAACATGTTTAAAGAGTAGCTCTTCGGTGTACTGCCAATCTCATTTTGAGCCAATTCCATTTTGAACTGTCAATTCCAACAGTGAAATAAAGATGAGACTTGTTTTCTTTTGGGTTGAAAACAAATAAGAAATAAATATGCAAGTAACTTCTCACAAAATTGAACAGTAGAAAAGTACTAAATGTTTTGAGTTAGGAACATGCTAGACTGACATTCTACAATGTCATATTGATGACTGATATATATATATAGAATAACTATGATCTTCATTCAGTTCCTACAATCAAACAAGTAATTATATTTCTGGAACCTAATATTTTAGGACTTATGGATATGAATGTCAATTATCAAATACAAAATACTAAAAAACCAAGAAGCATGATGTTAACTAGTAATATCAGCTCATAATGTTATCTATAGGTGTGTCGTAGAGGTCTCAAAGATATCAAGTAACCTCACTTTTATATCAGCTCTTCAAGTGATTGATACATGTTAAAATCAGCTCTTCAAGTGTGTGACACCCATTTAAATCAGTTCTATATGTGCTTGAGGCTCAATTCAGCTCTTAAATAATTAGCAGCGAAGTATAACTGGTTAAAAGTTAAGCTGTGATACAGTATGCTGACGTTAAATGATACACAATATATAATGAGAAAAAAGCGGGGTTACGGGGAAAGCTGCAAGTTTAAACCTTTTTCCAGATGCATTTAAGAATTTAGGATATCAATCAAATTCAAAAAACCAAGACTGAATTTGCCAGTTAGGTTAAAAACTAAGTGGTCACAATTTAAGTCACCTCTTATTTTAAAGTTGAATCATTCATTACTTCTATTAGTCTTATTTTGAATTCAGGCCCTATTCATAAGTAATTTAATTCAAATAAGTCGATAATACCATCATTCTACTTCTCATAATTGTGTAACTTAGAAAGACATATAGAGTACACAACATGTTGTTGACCGACCAACCAGAAGATGCTTTCATATAACATGCCAAAAAAATTGCGACAATCAGGAGAGTAATTTTTCAAGTGCTAAGAAATTAACTAATATATCAATGATACAAACTTGCTGAACCATACAAAGGCCTGAAGATACAACAATATTATGTGCCATTTGATGTCAAATGTTATGTCCATGCTTTGCACAGGTGGCTCTAATTTCTTTGGTTTGTATATTTTTTTCTTTCATCTCTATGAGTTTCTTCTTCGGTTATGCTCATGCTTCTAAATAAACTGGTACGATTTTTTTTTGGCGGCTACAACATTTCTGTTCTTATATATACTTCTCCCATTTCTTATGAATATGAACATACAAATGCCTTGTACTAATGACTCATAATATATGGCTTAGAAATGAACATTATATTAGCCTTTAAACTCCCTCTACAGTGTTCTAAACATAATACATGACATGTTATATCTTGGGCTGCAAGAAAATTCTAATATGCAGCAATGATCACTCTTGTCAGGTCAGTGCTTTTTGGCATCCAAGGTTTTTGGTCCAGTGGTTTTATGCTCCCCAAATCTGTGCTTAAACTCATTGATAAAGCATGTAAGAATTATATCTCGAGCGGGAGTGATTCTAGGAGTAAAATGGCATTGGTTGCTTGGGAGGATGTGTGTAGATCTAAAGTTACTGGTGGTTTGGATCTATTTCATGATGAGGGGTGGAATGTAGCTTCTATTGCTAAAATCATTTGGGATATCCATTGCGCAAAGGAATCCTTGTGGATAAAATGGCTTCACGAATATTACTTGAAATGTTATGATGCGAGGACTGTACAGCCTAGAGTGGGAGATTCTTGGCAATGGAAGAGGCTCTCAAAGGTGAGGGATCTTCTGCTTCAGTTTTTATTATATATATATATATATATATATATAGTATACTATATATAATATATATATATATATAATATAGTATATATATATATTATATAATATATATATATATATTTTTTTTTTTTTTTTTTATTTTTTTTTTTGGGGGGGGGAGGGGCATTTTCATTGCGGTTGCTGGGCTGTTTGGTTGGCGTGGTTTTTTTGTGGGGTGGGGAGGGGGAGGAGTCGTAAAAATTTCTAAAATATATGCATGTATACTTGATTTGATGTTAACCCAGTTACATGGTCATCTATGGTGGAATTTATTGAGTGTACCAAGCCATCGTGTTAATTGAACGAATACTATTCATAAGGAGATTATTGACTCTAGATAGGCTTGGCAGGCTTGGATTTAATGTAAATAATGTTTGTTGCTTTTGTGGAGCTGCTGCTGAGGATCTTGCACATATTTTTTTTCCAATGCGCTCTGTTCCTATTGAGGTTTGGAGGTTAATTAAACTTTGGATTGGTTATGAGCACATGCCTTAGGTGTGTGATAAAATTTTTTCCTTGGTGTTTTATGCATTTGAAAGGTCGTGTTGTGAAAAGGAGAATTGCGAGAGCCGCTGTTGCAGTGTGTGTGGGGTGAGCGCAACTAGAGATTTTATGTGGGGTGAGCGTAACTCAAGATTATATGCTGATAAAGCCTCTACAGTTCCTGTTATCATCAAGCAGATAAAAAAACAGATATTTTTGTGCAGCTTTTCTTTTTAGTGCTCATAGTTTAGTTTATCTTTAGTGAAGCTTGTTTGTACCTCACGTATGATGTATGTGTTGTTAGGTTGAGTGGTATGTTGCATTGAAGAGGAGTAAGCTCTTATAATCCTAGGAATGCCTATGCATATGTTGTACTATAATGCCATAGGTAATGAAAAGTTTCCACTTTCCTTAAAAAAGAACAATAGATTGCTGGAATGCATAATTCAAAATTAGATAACCTGAGCCAAAGTTTTTTTTTCTTTGATAGCTTAAAATTCAAAAGCAAATTCAAAATAAGGGCATGGATGGCTTTTATTTTAAATTTTCAATTATAAAGTTAGATGCTTTAACCACCAATCCCTCCTTTATAATATTCTTAAAAAGAAAATTAGATATGAGAAAAAGTCAACACACCCTATGTGATCATAACACCAAAGAGCTCTCTTTGTCATTTAGGAATTGGAAGGTTTCCTCAGCTGGCGATGTCATCTTATATTGATGTTTTATTATAAAGGAATCTTATTGAGATTTGGTATGAATTGAAGTGGACATGGAGCTAAACCCTCCTCCAAAATGAAGAAACCAAATAAAATGTGAAGATGAAATATAAAGCCTTCATGCGATTAGCAATTAATCGATCTTCTCTATAAAACTTGAAATTTAGAAAAGGATAAATTTCACAAAACTCCCCAAACTTTAAGGCATTCCCCCACAAAACCCCTTGAACCTTGTTTTTCCAGCTAATCCTCAAGCACCTTTCCACAAAATTCCCAAAACTCCAAAAACTCTCAAGTAACTCCCAAAACTTAACTTTTCCACAAAACTCCCCAAAAGTGTCTCTTGCAACTAAAGGACCTTATTATCTACCCAGTCCATTCTTTCCTTGTTTTATATAGGGTTTGTCTTCTCCTCCTCCTTGCATTTAGGGGATTTAGTAGAAAAAGTTGAAAGTTTTTGGAGGTACTTGACTCTGGACTTTTTGGGGGTTTGTAGGAAAAGATTTGGGGGATTAGTGAAAAAACAAAGTTCAAAGGTTTTAGTATTACCCATTTCAAGGTGTTGTGAAATTTACTCTATTAAAAATTAAGGAGAGACACATGGCAGTTTTTTGAGATATAAGGCTAATAGTTAACCATCGACCTCTATTCACATATAGAGAAGGGATACCGTGTTACTTTAGTATTGCATTATCTTAAATAACTACAAATTTATCCATATCAGAAGAGGGGCAAAGAAAAATAGGTTCAGTTCTTTTAAGAAGAATAACAAAAAATATGTATCATCCCGTTAAGATCGAGCTAGGCTAGAGAGGGGTGAATAGGGTTGCATCGAAAACTAGGTTATTTAAAAAAATTTGCATCTAAGCATAAGAAAACAACCAAGCAAACAATCAAATGCAAATGCACAATTCTACGTGGTTCAACATGATGCCGACATCCATGGACTTCACCCCTGTGAAATCGATCAACTATCTGAAAGAGTACCGAACTCCCAAGATCATCGAAGCTCTTATACCTTATCCTAACTAATCTCACAAAAGTGTAAAGCACAATACAACTCTCAGATACTATCACACTCAATCTACCCAATACTGAGAATTTCAATTAGACCACTTCACCCTGATCTCTAGGTCTACAAATCAAATTGAATTGAAAAGAGTTTAAAATAAAAATATGTCCCTAATAAGTGAGTTGATCTTCAATAGATGATGTCGATATCGCTGCGAAGATGCCCTTTGAATTGTAGAGTGAATGTCTTCTTCAAATTACAAAAGAACCAAAAAGAAAGCTCCAACAATCTCTCCAATGAAAAATCCTAGCTTTTCTCTTATCCAAACTCGTCACAATGTTTAAAAAAAGCGGAAGTGAAACACTAGACCCTTTGATGAAGCGAGACGTAAGATTCAAAAGTAAGGCGTAAGCTTTATGAGTTTAAGCATTCTAATTTTAAATTTGTAGAAATTATGAACATATAATAGATATTGGTATTATAATTTACAAATATATACATGTATGTCCTGATTAGTAAATAAGAATTAAATATGTGAAGTATAGAAACGGATCATAATAAACTAAGTTACATGCATAATTATATTATATATATATATATATAAATATTATATATATATATATATATAGAGAGAGAGAGAGAGAGAAGAAAGAGAAATGTGTATGCTTTGTACCAAGTATAAAATTTGTGCTTGGTAGTGAGGTGACATAATCATCTCCATCATTCAAATGGTTGCATATCCTCATGCATCCTTAACCCATGTGAATGTGGTCCCCATTTGAATGAGCGGAGTGGATTGTGTCCCTTATATCAAGCAATAAAATTTGTGTTTGGTACCAAGGCATACACATTTCTCTCTCTTTCTATTATATATATATATTATATATATATATATATATATATATATATATATATATATATATATAGAAAGAAGAGAAATGGATATGCTTGGTACCAAGCACAAGTTTTTGTGCTTGGTAGTGAGGTGACATATTCTCATCCACTCATTAAAATCGAGGCTCACATTCTCATTTGGTTGGGGAGTGGTTGGAATTGGAATGAGTGGATGGGAATAAGACACCTTACTACAAGCATAAAATTTGTACTTTGTACCAAGCATACCCATTTTCTCATATATATTATTATATATAATATTATATTATTATATATATATATATATATATATAATATATATATATATAATATATTATATTACGTGCGTCATATTGAAAATACATAGGGACATTTCAAAAATTCTTTTATATCCTCTCATCTTGTCTAAAACGTGTGCTTCAAAAGAAAAGCACCTTATGAAGCGTGAAGCGCACACTTCAAATATGATTTGAGCGATGAGGCATAAGCTTCAAGGGATAAAGAGCTTCACTCTTAAGTTTCGAAGCGTTTAGACATCAAAAAGTTGTGAAGCGAGTTTCAAAAAAGCTTTTTCAAGCATTTATCTTTTCTCTCTTTCATGCTCAATATATAACCTCCACAATAGAACTTCATATATGATCAGGAAACAACCTTAAAAGTCCTTGTCTAGATGTACAAACGAATGGTTTACATTAAAACTTAGAAATTTGAACACAAACTATCAAAATCCATCGACCAGATCTCTGAAACTAATGACTAGATGTCTAAATTATAGTTCAGACGTCTGAATTTGAAAACCAGGTGTCTCTATAGAGTTTTCCCAAAAATAGCTTTTTGTCTGACAGATTTCAAACATTTGTCCGAGTCTCCCAGGCGTCTAATGGTCGAATAAACTTGTGAATGTCATTTTCGTCTTAGAGCATGTTGAGAGCTTTCCGAAAAAAATAGTATAACAGCAATTTTGATAACCAAGTCAAAAGTTATGGTCTAGGTAAGCTTTCAGCCTCCTATGTGCACGTTTTTAGGCGTTTGAATTTGAGACCAGATGTTTGAAATTTGACGCCTTTTTTGAAAAGCTGAGTTTCTATCATAACCAAATCAGACATCTGATGCAAAAACTAGACATCTAGATTGCTGCTGACTTTTTTGACATTGTCTCGTTAAATTCTTCATAATTTAAGCTATTCAACTTTAAATTGAGTTCCATTTGTTTCTGTAGATTTGTAACAAAGAGACAAACACTTCTATACAAAGTTAAAATTTGGCTTCTGATATCTTTCCAGAATTAAATGCAAACTTGTACAGTCTACACACTTCATCTCAAAACACCATCAAATATATGTCAATGTTTGTTGATCGAACCAAGTTGATTTTGTGATCAACATCCAACACTTCCCGCAACTACCGAACTTGCACTGAGAATGTTTAACAAAATGAAGATATAATTGGTTCTAAACTTAGTAAGATTATGAGCCTGGTTTAGCATAAGTTAGGTAACCAACGTAGGACTTGCGATCACATAGAAGCGAGATAGTAACTTGCAGCTAAAATCCTGATTTATATAAAATTTAAACTTTTTCATTAATATCCAAGAAAGTTTCCAAAGAGTATAATCGGATCAATTTCCAGCGAATATCAAACTTTAAGTGAGAATCTTTAACAAAAAGAAGCTATAATTGAGCTCAAAAAATTAGCAAAATTTAGGAGCTATAATTTCGCATAAATCAGCTAACCAACTGAGAACGTGCGATCTTACAGAAGCCGTGATAGCAATCTGCAACTAACATCCTAATTTTTCAAAATTTTAGAGATTTTTGAACGATAATTAAGAAAAAAATTCAACTTGCAGTGTGAATCTTCAACAAATAGAAACTTTATTTGACCTCTAACCCTCCTTTTCTTGTATGAGCTTGATTCAGCACATGTCAAAACTAACCAACTAAGGGCTTCAGAATAGAAACTTAAACCACCACAAATGCGTCAAAAAACAAAACCCTAATAAGGCAAGATTAGGACCTGGAGCGAAGTCGACTCGTCCTTACTGAGAGGGTCGAGGGAGAGGACGACCTTGGCTACGACGGGGTGGGCGGCGCTGGGGTCCGACGACGACGACGAGGCCGCGGCGGCGGACCCACACAGAGCGATCGGCCTTGCTCGTCTCCAGCACGCTGCGGCCATCGTCGTCGTCCACCGACATCTTCGCTTTGCTCGGGCTCGATTAAAGTGATGGTTGTGGTCAATAGAAGGGAGTTCGTTTTTATTAGTTTTTGGAAGTTGGATTACTGAAGTCCCTCATTGTTTTGAGAACTCAAAAAGGAGAGGAGAGAGAGAGAAAAAAGCAGGAATACAGCCGGTTAGATGGTCCCACTTCTTTCGGAAATTATTCGAGAAATTAAATTAACATCGTTTTTCCACGTATTAAATCAGATATTTATCGATTCATGATTAATACTTTCTACATATGTTCTCGGAATCTTTATCGGGTATCTAAATCCCGGAGTATTTATTAAATTTGGAACCTCTTTAACAGAAAAAAGAAAAAAATAGGACAAAAGTCACTACTTTCTACTGGGTGATTTTGTAATTCATTCTAAATTAACACTCAATACGCACGCATGAAGTTAACTCATTCCTTATTTACATGCAAAAAGAGAATCTTAATCATCCACTAAAGAATAAATAATTATGATAATATAGCGATTGCTTCCCTATTTTGTTTGACAATGGAGAGGATCTTCTTGGAATCTTATATAATTCAGTGACTCACATTTCTCTAACTCCTCCTTAATCAAACGTTCATCGTTTTATAGTTACTTACATGAAAATTTCTTAGTACACTAGTTAAAAATACATCATTTTTGTAGGATCATAAATAGTCTAACTGAAAGATATATTGTTTCTATACTACGAAATATAACTATGAGGTCAAAATTTATACAAGCTAAGCCATCCTACAAAAATATAACTTATGTAATGACCGTAGGCTTCTCCCTGCCAGTGAACTCCTTCAGTTTTGATATTGATAGTGCCACATCTGTGAGAACATAAAAATGTATACCTAAATCAGTATTATCTAACCAATGGGTAGAAAATCTAGCAAATAAGAAAAAGATTAGCAATGTGATTCTGTGAACCTATCAATGGCTTCAAAGCTATTTGTGCATCAATGTCATGTTTGGCAACATCAGGCTCAAACTGTTCGATATAAACTCGTATAGTTGCCCCAGCTGATCCGGTGCCCTGAAGAAATGATAAATTATTCTCTTAAGATAATAAGAAACACTGTACGAGAAAATATCCATAAAAATCACTATAAGGTGACATACTGATAGACGAAATATAATCCTTGATCCATCTGTAAACACAAACCGCAGGCCTTGCTTTGATGCTACACTGCCATCAACCTAATAAATTTTAACAAATACAATGAGATGCCAATCAGTATGATGTGATAAATCATGGTAAAGAAAAAGACTTACTGGATCAGTGTAGGTGAAGTCATCTGCGAATTGAAGGGTGTAATTTCCTGAAACATGACATGAAACAGGGTTGAGAAGTCACATAGTGAGAAAAGCTCAAGTTGCGGAGACTAACAAAGTTTTATGAGGATATGCACCATATTTTTCACCAGGCTTGCTCTTAGAAATCATTTCCCTGAGATATTCAACCATTTGATTGGCTCCTGCAGATTCACATTCCTATCAAATAGCAACAAGTACGCAAGTTATTGGAAGAGCAGATCACAGGAAAGGAACAAGCGAAGGAATGGTAATTTCAAAATTGTAGATGGAGTGGAGCGGTGAGATATGGCGATTATACTTCTGATGCCTAGAGACTGACTTTAAAATCAAGAACCAGTCACTAGAGAAAAAAAGTTGGGGCCACTTGGCAGTTTTGGGTCTAAAATGCAAGAACAAACAAGATGAAAATACTGACTTGAAATATGTAGAGTCACTAGTTAACCTCATAATCGTATCTAGAAAAGAAATTCCTTCCATAGGTAGCCCAATGCTCTTGAGCAACATCAGCAACCGAGATCAATTTTTCCCCAACCTTTTTGTCCTTGTTTCTATATGCAAGGATAGAAAGCCAAGCCAACACAGCCCTGATACATTAAAAGTGAATCAAATCAAAAAAGGGATTTGGATTCTCCCCACTATAAAAAGCAGTGGAGAGACTTCTTTTAATCATGACTGCCTATTTTTTGAGTATGGTTGTGATTTGTCTTGGTGCAAATTTGAAATGAAATGCATTCCGTAGGGAATGAAATGCATTCCGTAGGGGGTGTCATATATGCTAGACTTATAATGAGTCACGGCTACTCAGTGAACAATCCACAGTCATGATTAAAAGTAGCAACCTCTCCACTGCTTGTTGGTAGCGGAGACGATCCAAATCTTTAAAAAAGACATTTCTAAACGATGAAACATGCAAATAATACATGTCAAAGTTCATATTTTTTAGCAATACAATATTACAATTTACAACTTAGGAAAGACATATGTCACTAATGTTATCTGACCAACTTCAACTTCTCCAGATTAGTTATTTTCTGTGGCCTCAATTCTGAATTGATGCTGATGCTACATTGATTTAGTCAAAAGAAACTCCGGTAATGTTGAAACAGTTAATGTAATTCCTTTCAAGTTTGGTATCAGAAATGAATCCTCGTATGTAGACTGCTGGGCGTTTAAGGGTTTCTCCTACAATGCATAAGTTGAAGACTAGTGCTTTAATGATGGACGAGTACTCTCCCTCGATATCTAGGAAATCTTCCTTCAACTATTAGTTGTTGACCTGATTACAAATAATGAATGGAAGAGCTGAACTCTATTGTTTCATAATGGTCTCATTGAGAAAATTCTTTGCATCCAGATTCCTCAAATAGGGTGAC